TATATATATATATATATTTTTTTTAAGGGGGAGGGGGTGGTTGTTAAATCATTGATGTTTTGCTAGTTGTTTTTATCATTAATGGCTGAATAACAGTATTAAGACTATTGACAAGAAAACATTATCATCTTTAGCCAATTGTGCGTATGTATTTGATTTGCATAGATACAGTAAACTACAGTTTTTTGATGCTGCGGACTAATTTTTGTGGTATTTTAAGTGGAATGCAAAATTTCATGGTAGCGGACAGTGGTGGCCAAGGATTGCCAAGAACCCAGTCATGGCCCAGGGAAAACAGGGATTTGGAAAACCATTAGCCCTAATTTCATTTACAATACTGAAACGTATACTGTATTTTAGTGAGGGCAGAAGCAACATTTTACTATACACTGAGAATCCGCTGCCCGATTAGTTTACGTTTTCTTCCACGATACATGTTCAAAGGCTGCCAGATCAACAGTTAATCAGTGGGTGTCCCCTTAACCAAAAATTGAGCGTATTGAAGTGGGTGATATACCGGCCAGGTAATCCCCTTTTCAATGAAATGGCAATTTTTGGGGACTGGATACCAAAGATCTTATAAACACAAGATAGTGTTTTCCGAGATTTCCACGTGCAAATTCTGTAATAACAAAGTGTACAACGTCCTCTTGCAAAAATGAAAACTTTTGAACTTTGACTGCTTTGACCATAGCGTACACCACAATTTTACATTTACGTATAACAATTAGAAGTGTTTGATTTACTATGAACAATACAATTAAGGAACAATGAACATACAGTACTTGGTAACAAACTTTGGTGTAACGCGAACACCCTATCTCAGATCCATGGCAACAACTAGGACTCCCTCTTCCAAAAGTGATTAATTTTCTGTGCAAAATTGACGCTTCTATTTGTTACGTGTAATTCGCGGAGAACACCTTCTTGTGTTTATAAGATCTTTGCTGGATACCTAATTCAAAGCCACTAGTGTTTTATGTTTTTTAAGAATATTGGCTACACTGCTAGATACAAAAAAAAGGTAGGCCTTTGAATGTTACACCAATATTTATTACACTTTCAAACAAGCAATAATACCATATTTTGGGAAAGCAAAATAGGACGCAAATAAAATAGTTGGATGAACATGTATAAGCGCACAATTTTTCTTCCTTCAGTATTGCTTTTTTTTATAGAGCTTACTATTAACTAATATTTATATTTCATTATTAACTGAGACAATAATATATTTTTCTCATAAAAACCATCTATTATTGATTAGTTATGAAGAACCTCTAATGTTACTTCTTTACAGTGGTGTATCTAGGGGCACTCCCCCCAAAAAACCAAACCAATCCTCCTCCCCTAGTCCCCCAGTCCCACATGCTCAAGTAGTTAAAAATTACTACCACCTTTATCGAGCTCCCACTTCACCTTTGTGCCCCCATTTCAAGACCCCTAGACTGTACTGCTACTGTACAGGATTTGTTTTCTATGATAAATGACTAAAGCTAAAATAGCAATATACATCGTTGATGCAATAGGACATGTAACCTTGAATTATGTCATGTTTATAAAGATATAAACACATTCATTCAATTTTATTCAAGGCATAAAAAACCACAAATATAACACACAGGACTATCTTTAGTGATATTTTTTTGTCACTGATGAAAAAAATATGACCAAAGTTAGTCCTGAGTGCCATATTTGTCACTTCTACAGAAGGAAGACATCAGCATATTATATTCCTCCAGTATTCCTGACACTATAATAAATTAAGCAATACAATAATTCTAAAATTAGTAATTATTATATCATACTTTAAATACAAAAACAAAAATCGTTCACATGATAACTGAAATCTGATACCAAACAATAAATATCTATTGAAATTAATGATATTACTGTAGTATGTTACTGTTTAGTTAAGTAGCTGAAGCATTCTATTTTGTAAAATTGTAACATATTCATTAACTTATTGCGCTAACCCTAGTACTTGCAGCTTTGCTTTCTTTCTCACTGTCGACTCATAAATTCACAAACACTAACATTTCACTTAAAGAAACTTTTAAAAACAACTGACCAAAATTATAGAACAGGGCCAGGAATACCCACAAATCTAATAACGAGCACACATGTTGTCCTGCAAACGCGCCACAAACGCATGCATTTGCATATGAGTCAATGCCATCATTTTGTGGGACCTTAAGAACAATATCCATGGGCGGAGCTTAGTGGAAGTGTCCATTACATCGCTTGTTCACAGTAAATGTATTAAAGATATATACCAGTACTCTTCTAAAATCTGGAGTGGAGCTGTATCTTCGAAATGGAGGGGGGCCCAGTGTGGAATTTTCACAGATGGGGAGACTAGACCACCTCAGCCCCACCATGGTTGAGGATGAGTTAAGAAAATTTATGATCATGGCACCTCTTGATGGCCAAAAATGGCACTCATTTTTCTTTTTTTCCATTTTTTTACAATTTTGAAAAATTAGGGGGACCCAGACTGGCTTTCCCCTGCCCCTTGAATCTGCCACTGATGCTTGTTGTCTTTAATTTCCTTTTCGACCAAAAACAACTCCACTCCCTATGCCTAATAATGAGACTTTGATGACATACATATTTATATAAAATGTTTTCTAAAAGGTATTGTCACTTATAATAAAGACAGTTTTATTAATATCGCGTCCATGACACATATACACAAATGAATAAAATTATTTAAAAAAAAAAACCTCTAAAAAATTTTCAAGCTATAGCAAATTCAATTTCCCATTTAAAAGAATCAAGCAAGTCATTAGGTTCAACATCAAAACCCTTTATGAAATGTCGAACTTAACTTACCAAAAAGAACAAGGGCAAAAACAAGCATATGCATTACGTATGTCATAATTATGGCGTTGCTTTCTGGGAACAAATTTTATAGGATTCACACTAAAAAATGTTACACCTCCTATTTGAATATTACAGTTGAACTTGCCTAAGCTGATTCTAAAATGGCATTGAAAAATTGTTTGACTTAAATGAAATTATCATTAATTAATGGAAAACAAAACACTGTAGTTCCCATTTGAATAGCACATCTCAAAAACCCTAAATAATCAGTAATGGCATTGAAAAATTGTTTGACTTAAATGAAATTATCATTAATTAATGAAAAACACAACACTGTAGTTCCCATTTGAATAGCACATCTCAAAAACCCTAAATAATCAGTAATGGCATTGAAAAATTGTTTGACTTAAATGAAATTATCATTAATTAATGGAAAACACAACACTGTAGTTCCCATTTGAATAGCACATCTCAAAAACCCTAAATAATCAGTAAGTGCCTGGGGGTTTAATCATTCGGTACAGTACACTTTCTAGTTTATCCCTGTAGCAAATATTGTACATAGCATGCAGTAATATATGTTAGGGTTTCATACTTTGAATATTTAAAAATAAACAAAACATGTCCAATATCACAATAGTGATAAAATGGAAGATAAAATGATTTCTTATCGTTAAAATTTGATAAAATAGCAAATAATTATTATGAATGTAACTTAAATACCAAAACTTGAATTATTACCCTGACTTCATTTTAAGACATGTTTACCACACAATTCAAAAACAGGATAAATTTCTTAATCTGTTTTTCACATTATATAGTTATTTTTCATGATTAACACCGCTAAAGGGTAAGAATGTTAAAATCAGTGTAGAGTACATTGCACACTACCGTATATTAAAAATACTCTAGTCACTGTCAGATGTAGATTTCATCGTCTATGCTGCACACAATAACATTGAGATGAATACAATCTTCATTAGTCTGTATACACTACTGTTTATTTAAAAATACTGATTAAAAATGGGTTATAGAATACCTTCGCGGGATAAATACTTGGTTGAATACCGGTATACATAATAATAATAATATTAATAATAATAATAATTCTTTATTTGTCCTCGTATATGTATGCCTACACACTGGGAAATTTGGGCTGGGTCCCAGCGGACCCGCGGCTGCCACAGCTCGGCGCCAACTACCCCACTTACTCTACAACATCAAACGGATACATACATGGTCTTTAACTCGCCTAACTCTCCTGAAAGGGTTACTCGAGGGGCTGAGTGTTTTTGTTATTATAAAAGACCCGAATTCAATACTCGATGTAGAGTCAGGTATTGAACCCGGGCCCTGGCGTGCAAGAGGCAGGAACCATACCAATTAGTCAAAAGCACACAATGCGATTCCGCGGAGACGCAAAGAATCCGATCAGACTGCCACCAACAATCAGCAGAGAGCGTTGTGTCGTCATGGTGGATTTGCTGACCGTTTGCCCAGCTTGAGTAGCATGCCATTCGGTACGTGATAGTAATCAGTGGTGGTTCCAGCAATTTGCCGACAGGGGGTCCGACATCTACAACAGTGGGGTCCAAACCAAGGGGCCGACAAGTGCCTTGGTCAGGGTTTTGGAATAAAATTTAGGTATGGTACTGTAGGGTTCATGGGAGAGTTTTTAGACCACAATATTAGAGACTGACAATCAAAATAACGTTATTCTGATAGGCAAAATTAACTTTTTTTTGTCCAACACGGCATCAGACAATGGAGGGGTGCAGGCCGGTCTAATTTCCCTGCCACCTCCCCACCTCCGTTTCTGGAGCCACCACTGATAGTAATGACAAAAAAAATCATTGTTATTGTTATTGTTGTTGTTGTTGTTATCCATTGAACCCCTATACATTTGGACCTTGCACAGCTACATCATACTTAGGCGGTAAATCTGCTGGCTCTGGCTGAGGGGCAGATGGCTGGACAGGGTATGCTGGATCATTTGCTACAGGGTACGGTGCACCCTGTTGAACCACTGTTAGTTCTGGATGAGAAGGATATCCTTGGTCAGGTTGTGGTGGATATGCTTGACCCGGTTGGGGTGGATATGCTTGACCTGTTTGGGGTGGATACCCTGGATTAGGTTGGGAAGGATATGCTGTTGTGGGCTCAATAGGATAAACTTGACCTGGTTGTGGTGGATAAACTTGACCTGATTGTGGTGGATAAACTTGACCTGGTTGTGGTGGATAATCTTGACCTGGTTGTGGTGGATAAACTTGACCTGGTTGTGGTGGATAACCTTGACCTTGCAGTGGATACCATTGACCTGTTTGGGGTGGGTACCCTTGATCTGGTTGGGATGGGTACCCTTGACCTGGTTGGGGTGGGTACCCTGGTTGAGCTGGATACCCCTGACCTGTTTGGGGTGGATACCCTTGACCATGTTGGTATGGATACCCTGGTTGGGTTAGATGTGGTTGACCCGGTTGCGGTATAAGTGGTTGTTGAACAGGTGGATGAACCTGGATTGGATGGTTGGCAGCAAACGGTATGGATGTTGTTGTAGTCCTCGATGTGCCATTCATTCTGCGTCTTCTTCTAAAGCAACAGACAACGACTATGATTATTACAATGATTATAACAACTATTGCCCCAAGAATTGCACCGGCACCGGCTGTGAAAATATGAAAAAATAACAATAAGCAATTGTTTTATAGTAAAAAATCTAAAGCTTTGTTTGCACTGTCAAATTTTATGTAACAAAAAAAATGTGATATGCCCATATTTGGGTATAGGGTTCTTACCAGCATTTTGAAGTGGTGGTCTGCAAAGGGGGCATAGTCGCCGAAACCCCTCCCCCCCAGGGTGAAAAAATCGTAGTTATCATTCATAGCTATATGATTCATTTGAATGTACCCATGAATCCGTGGTGTACGAAATATAAACCCAAATATAGTTAACTTTTAAAATACAAGTTTGATCAAAACAATATTTGTAAAAACAAAGAAATTTCTACTCATTATTGAACAACACACAGATATATATTTGTCTTATCTAATGTCGCAAGCATGTCCATTGTCTAGCCAGTGAGTTGTTAATCAACAACTCCTTAATAGTTGTGCAACAAAAGCATTTTGTTGGCCTACGTTGTTTTTTCCACTATCAATTGCAATATTAGTGGTGGTTGGCAGCCTGAAAATACTGGTCGGAAATGTTGAGTGCTGGACGGGCCCAACCACCGCCGACCAGCTTGGTGAGAACACGTATGTTTTCTCTCTTCAAAAAATATATTGAACAAACTTGCTCTTTAATACTATTTTATTTGTTTAATTTATTGGCATGTTTGTTAATGACCACAACAGAAAAAAGTTGCTAGCTTTGCAACTATATTGTGTTTTTTGAAAATTAATTGTAATTAATAATTGTAATTATATATTCTGAATAAAATTTTTACATTTTTTTTCCATCCTCAACGTGGAAATTTAGTGCTTGCTACTATTACACAAAATGATTATAAAATTAGTTTCTTCTGGCGAGTCAAGAGGCTGAATGATTAGTCTTGGGCATCACAATCTACAGCCTTAACAATTGCATTGCATATTTTATGATCAATAATATTTTTAATCACTTTAATCAATTATGATAGTTTAATGATATATTTCAAAAATGTAATAAAACTGTAGGTATGGCATTTGTAGATAGATGTTGTCTTTTGTTATACTATGGGTTTCTGAATTTTGGAATGATTAAATAATTTAAGGTACTTACAATTATAGGAGCACTTAAGAGCAACAAAATCATAGCCACATGTTCCGTAGTAACTTTGTGTACATTCTGAGAGGCTGGTCTCTGTTCCCAAATAACAATCAAAAGTAGAGTCATATATTTGCAGTTGCGACGCTTGCGAAGTGTCAAAACCATTGGTATATGCAGAATAATCAGATGCATAGTCATAACCAAGCTGTTTGCAGGCCGCGTCACCTTCATCTTGGTACCAATAATTATCGCAAATAGTGCGCCATTCGTAATCCACAAAAATTTCAAGGATTCCTTCACTATCAGTTCCCCCCACAAGACGTAATTCCCCATCAACTGGATCATCCTCTAAAGTAAAGAGTAAATGATAATTTATTACAGTAATGTATACTTAAAAAACAGCAGATATTATATGAATAATGAATGCTTATGAGTACAATGGGAAGAATATTTTCATGATTTGAAAGACTGACTGTTCCATTCAAAGAAACAGAGCCGAGTTGAATGGAACAGTCAACCTTCTAACTCCGGAAAATGAGAAAAGATGCGTTTCAGATCGTTTGTAACGAAAATCCACTTAAATCCAGATAATCAGCAGACAGAATTGCATCATCTAGTGCTCAAAGAGAGCAGAGATGGACTTCTTCTACCACCATTGTACAATGCAGTATGTGCTTGGCTTTTACAAAAAAGACAACAGTTGAATGTGTACGGTATCCTAAGGGTGCGTTTCTATTGCAAATTGAGATAGAAACGGTTATCTTATTATTGGTTGATTTATCGGATTAACAAGATAAGAACCGTGTCGCAACTCAATTTCTTTCAACATGAAACGGATGTGTATTTGATACCAGAATGATTAAAGGCTTAAAAATTACCCAGAATGCAAATCAATATGAAGGAAATGACTTCATAATAAAATAGTATTTTAGCTCGACTACCAAAATACAAACAAACAATGATGATTTCTCCTATATCCGAATAACAGCTAATGTTGGTTTAAAAAAAAGTGGTTTGCTAAGCATTTGCTTGAGATTGACTTACCTGATGGAATACAGCTAAGTGCAACATCTGATGTATGGTCCTGGCCACAAGATCCCCATGAATCAGTGCTAATAGTACAGTATGTAATTTTGGACAGTTCTTTAGTGCAGTCCACAGTCTGTATGTTGATGGGGTGCGATTCAGTGTTTCCAATTTGGTATAAATAACGACTTTGTCTGTATTCTTCAACACCTTTATAACCGAGTTGGCGACATACAACTTGTGCTTCATCTTTGCCCCAGCTCTCACCACACACTGTTCCCCATCGACCATCTATGTTGACTTCTAGGATCCCTCTGCTGGTTTTAATACCACCAACAAGACGCACAGAACCATAAAGAAGACTATCTGTAACAGTACAGTAAAAACCGAATGAAACCACTTCAAAAAAACATTTTAATCTTAATTATGCTCTCACAGTACACTCAGGTAGTTAAACAATTTTCTGAATATTATTTTTCATTCAGTATTACTGTATATCTGTTTAAGTATTGAATTTTTATAGATTAATAATGTTTTAGTACAGTACTAAGGGTAGTCTCAACAGTAAAATTAATTCTTACCATAAGTATAACAGCTGACCCAAACCTTCTCATTGTTATTGCAATCATGTTCACCCCAATTACGATGTGGGCACTGCCCAATGCTTTGCTCTGTGCCAACACAATCAACATCATCAAGAATAATAGCTGTGGAATCTGTATAATCTTGTCCAAAAAAATTACTTCCCCCTTCAAATCCAAGTTGCTTGCAAACCACACGAGTGCTTTCTCCGCTCCAGCTGTCATCACAAATAGAACCCCATACTCCGTCATGCTGAACCTCGACATTTCCTTCATTTGCAGACAGCCAGACGGAAACTAAACGAACTGGATTGAGATCTAGGGTTTAAAAAATAAACAAATCATCATTATTACTATATTTTCTCATATTTGATTTAGCATGCAAGTCGAAGAATAAGCATGAATGAAGAGGGTGAGAGTGAAATAATCTCACTGTTTAAAGTTGTATTGCAAAATATCATGAAAAATACAAAAAAAAAAGTGTATTTAAAAAATGTTTATCCACCTTTTTTCAGTGATCAAATCCCCTTCTTCTTATGGGTCAACCCCGGAGTGCCATACGAGTTTGTGCAGTATTTACGAATACCATTTTTTAGGTTTTCTTTTTATATAAAACTTAAACTACCCTAGGCTGACCATGGGGAAAAATTGTCAGAAACAGTTCTAGTAACTGAAAGAAAGTGGTTTATGATTTTGTTTAATATATCCAGTTTAAAAATCAGGGTACACATTTTTTAAGCTTGCTCTTTTTGGTCAATTTGCGAGTCAATATTGTTTCAATGTATTGTTCATAGTAAATTCAGTTGTTTCAGCTTTGTTTTTATACTCAATTAAATAAATAGAGACTTCATCAATTTCAGTCAATTTTATCTAAAAGCTCTGTACACAGTACCAAAATGTTATGCAACAAACTTGTGTAAATTGTCCAAATTGCATGATGGTGTCATATCACATTCAAATAAGGACATGATGATATGATAACATGACCATTATGAGCAAATCCCATTTTCACATATTTGTTACTTAAAATTTGATAGTGATACTTCCGGCATAACATGATGAACAGATGACCTACCGAACCGCAGGCTGGCTTCATTAGATGACTGACCTTGATAACGTCAGACAGGCTGTGCTTGTGGCGCTGTTTTAATATGGTGCTGGTAAGTACTTAGATTTTAGTGTCAGGTATTCAGTCATGTCATTCCTTTAGTTACTTCCTTTCATGAGGTAGAATTACAATCAAACTTCAACTTACAAAAAGGCTTGTTCAATTTTAAAATTAAATTTTTATGTTTGGTACCAATAGACTTAGAGAAATTTTGTGATGGCACCTACCATATTTGTAGAAAAGACTAAACATGGTAGTATAAATCTATGAGAAAGCAATCTTCCAATACAGAAACCTACCACCAGTGCATTCTACTCCGACATCTTCACTATGTGTACAATTATGAGGACTAGTGGATGGGCAAGCAATAAGGCGTTGTTCTTCACCAGTGCATCTGACATCATCAAGCCATATCGGCGAACTATCCCACGCTACACCAACACCAGTAAGTACTTTCACAGCATTGCCTAGGTTCAGCTCACGACAAACAACGGTGGCATCCAACATGTCAAAGTGATCGTCACAGACTGTTCCCCACTGACCGCTATACAGGTACTCGAGTCGTCCACTAACGTCAGAATTACCAACCAAACGAACAGCGCTCGATGCTAAAATAAAATTAATATCAAAATGGTTTATTAATTGTATGTGAATATATGAGCCTAGTGGTGAAGTTTTTCACTTGCAATTCAATATTAATTCAGTCCTTTGAAAAACAAATAAAATGTTGCAGATTTGGGAGACAAGACTACTGTAGTACAGAAACAACTAAAGCAGTTACTCATATAGTGCATACAGTACAGTACCTCTGCCCTCTGCCTGAATACCAAACAATACAAAGGCCGGTTTGTGTGATTCCATTATTTTCTTTTGTACTCGAGGGTAAGCAAAAAAAAAAAAAAAAAAAAAAAATGCTGTGACCTTGAACTTGTCCTTTTCTCCCCAAAATTACTAAAGCAGTTACTCATATAGTGCATACAGTACAGTACCTCTGCCCTCTGCCTGAATACCAAACAATACAAAGACTGGTTTGTGTGATTCCATTATTTTCTTTTGTACTCGAGGGTAAGCAAAAAAAAAAAAAAAAAAAAATGCTGTGACCTTGAACTTGTCCTTTTCTCCCCAAAATTTAATCATCTCTTTCTTAGACAATTATTTACTATTCCACTAAAAATTTTATGATGGTCCATTAATTGGCTTTTGCATAATCTTGCTGACATAGAGACAAACAGCGGTGATTACATAACTCACATGGCGGATGTAATATTATTCATATTTAAAATTTAAAATACTCATACTGTACATACCATGGCCTGGACTGGGGATGCACCTCCCCAACCCCAACACACCCTAATGTCAGCAAATTAATTCAACTAAGTGAGTTAAGGAACTAAAAATGACCATTAAGTTTCCATTGAAATAGAGTTCCAGCCTACACCCATGCATAGTAGTAGGTTTATATTATAGATAATAGGAAGGATTCGCACGCGTAAGGTAAGTGTGACGAATACGTCATTATTTTGATTATGCCAGCTGCTATCCGCTAAACGTGTGGACGACATGCATATCTCGCTCACTACATGTAAGTGAAAAACTCGTAAGGGAAATTTTGGATTTCTAGTAGGATCTTTGTTTGATTTTTTCACATTTTATGTATGTGTAAAAAATATATGTATCTTGGAATACGTACGTGTCATTTTTGTGCAGCAAATTACGATAGGATGCGTCTCATTTTGGGGTATCTAAACATCGGTGATTTAACCTTAGTGGTGTCAGGATTTTGTGTAGGCCAAGGCCTACTTGTAGCCAGGCACTTTTGGGTCATAAACAATACGGCCTATCACAAAATAACCAACACTTCTGGGCAACAAAGGAAGTATTTTTTCGGCTAAAATTTTTAATTTCAATTTCCAAAACCTTATAATTTATATACTAATAAAACTTTGAGAAGCATGATGAGAGAAGAGAACAGAGTATAGTAGGCCTAAGCTAAGGACCTAGGCCTAGCCTAGCTAGGCTTGAATTGCGCGCTGTGATTGCGAAAAACACAGAATGGCTATGAAGCGTTACGGATAGCTAAACATATGTGTACACGTATTCGTTCACGTGCGAAACCTCTCTAGTCATGGCACTTACCTGAGTACACAACTGTAAAAAGTAATGAACATAAAAATGCTCTGTACTGTTCCCTTGAAGTCATCTTTCTATATCACTGCAACTTTAACAGAAAAGAATAAGAAAATGAATTACAGCATTTTAACTAATAATGAAACTTGGTGCCACCTAATTATTGTGTTTGATTTTGTACTTTTACTATGTATGTATTATATTACATTTGTTAAATTTACAATGGTTCTGTTAAATTAAAATAATAAGCAATCTCATGAAAGCAAAAAAAAGAATCTTGTTTAATACTTGTTTTTATCTTTCATTACAATAATATAAATATAAGCCTAGGCCTTCTAGGCCCTAATTATTATTTACGATTTATTTATGATTATCAATTCAAAAAAGTTATTGTATGTCAAGGGAGGGGTAGGCCTACGTTCAGATAGAGATGGTCACTCACTTAAATGTTTACTGTGGGCTTTCCTTAATTATCTACATAGAGGGCATACCTACAGTATTATTATTATTATTATTAATATTATTTATATTATTAATATTATTATTATGTCATCTCTCTAAGACACGCTCGTCTAGGCCTATCTATCTATTATGATATAATTTAACTTGTGTCACATTTGTAATAAATAAATAACGATATTAAGCCTAGGCTAAGCTAGGGTAACCTAGGTAACTGGGCTACCTACACCCTAGTAATACTACACTAGGCCTAGGCTAGGCCCTGGTAGGTAGGGCTACTGAGGCCTAGTCTATCCTAGTGTAGGTAGTTTGGTTGGTTTGACGGGGGAGAATCCGGCGTTGGCTCGCCTACAAGGGCCAGGCTCCGCTACCCGGAAATTAAAACAAATAGGCCTACCTCTTAAATAGAAACTAGGCATTCATTCACCGGTACTTTGTTCAAGTTCAAGCCAGATCAGCAAAGTTTGGCATTTAGGCTAGTTTTAATGTTACTTATCCTGTTTTTGTTTGTCGAATTCCTTCAGTAAGCAGATTACTGTACGGCGATGGTACGTTGGTACGCATGAACAGGGTTAGGCCAGGCATTGCATATTCAATACCAACCTTCTTCATCATTGGTCAGAATATTCATACAATAAGACTTAATTTTGCCTGATTGCCTTCTTGTGTGTTCATGTATGAAATTATTTAATTAGGCGATTGATTAATTTTTTTCCTTGCTCTTTAATGCCATTAAATATATTTCAAGGTGAGATTGATTAATACTATCAATGACTTTATTTATTCCGATCTCATGAAAATATAACTACAATATGGCAATAACTGAAAGAATCAATTATACTGTAATGAGGGTTGGATTGTATTTGTGGGAAAAGTAGGCCTGACGTAACACATTTTGTGAGGGCACAATCCATGATGACAGTGTATAATTAGAACATGCTTATGCAATATTATTTATAGATTACGCCTATGTATACTGCATTGAAAATTTCACATCATCTTATTCATTCTAAAGCCATCGTGTTCTATGAAGAAATTAAATAGTGAGTGGATATTATGTTTTTTTCCTTTTAGTAAATATTTATTAGATATCTATGTATATTGAACATTTCACATCAACTTAGTCATCTTTTGTTTTTAAAAGCCATCATGTTCTGGAAAGAAGTTCAATAGTATATGGATAATATACTTAAGATAACAACTCAGCTCTCTGGTTAATTCTTATTTACTATTTTTGTTTATTTCGCAGTAAGTTTTAGTACCACCCATGCTATGCTGATAGGCCAATTAAATTTCGGGCAACTTGTAGCTAAGTATCTCTAATATATATCACTCACGCTGATGAAGTCCACAGGAGTGGACGAAATATTCGTGTTTATAAATTATGTTCCAAAATACGTCAACTTGACTTTTGTTTTCATTGTCATCACTTTCACCAATATATATATATATATATATATATATATATATATATATTCCAATCTGCAGACAGTACCGTTTCAATCTTGTTAGATCTCATCAGTGCAGCTCAGGATTTTTAAGAATGAAACACACCACTGACTCAAACATAGCTTGGGTCAGTCTTGTGTGACGTGGTACACTGATTATGAATACAAGAGTGCACAAACCCAATAATGAGTATATATCTTATTTTTAGCAGTCACGTTGGTCATTTTTACTCTAGTCTAGTCAATGAATTTCTGTTAAGCCCCGTCCCTTGGATATTGTAACTCAGGTCCCCAAAAACCGGCAATGTCACTTAAATTCAATTCAATTTAATAGATATTATTTTCGTAACAGTGGCACACGTTTGACAATACCCAACGGTGCATCCAATATAAGGAGAATAGACTTAAACTAGAAGTAAATTAAACTCAAATGTACAGTATATACAAAGTAAAACTTTAAGGCATGTGGCCATATCAATTACAGAGTTGCAGTCATGGGAAATATATTTCAACTAGGAAAAAGTATATATAAAATAAATAAATAAAGTAAAATAAAAACTTTTTAGGCATTTATAGCAACTTAATACAGAGCTAAAACTAATAAATAATCCATATGGGTTCATTTTTTTTTTGTGAATTTTTCCTTTAGTTAATCCAGTTGTCAATTTATTTCCTAAATTAAATTAAATTAAATTAAATTAAATTAAATTAAATTAAATCAAATCAAATCAAATCAAATTAAATTAAATTAAATTAAATTAAATTAATTGAATGAATTTATTTCCTGTGATCATATAGGTTCATATTTACTAACAAATTTAAAGGGAATACAAAAACTAATTATGTATGTCAGACATACTCGAATCGTGCGTTTATGCACGCGCCATCCCTATTATGGTTAGCCAGTTGCTAAGTTTGATTGACACTCCGGAAAATTTTAATCGCAGTAGGCCTAATGATTTCTTAATTCACCGCCATGTTTTTCAAGGTCATATCTCTATAATTTAGGACATTTTTACAGAGCCATTTTACAAACCTACAGATGACACAGGCATGCAGAAAAAAATACATTAAGATAATATGCACTGCATATTAATTCAAAGGATGGAAAACAAAAAAAATATTTTGATATGCCTAAATCTAATATTTTTCCCGGAGTAATATTATACGATAGTGTCGTAGGCCAAAGCCACTTTTATCAGCATAAACCAGCACTAGTAAACTGAACAATGTGTGTGGGCTTCAGACAAATACAACTTTTTTAAAATTTGAAATAATCTTTTTCTTTATTTTTGGCAATACAAAACACATAACTCGGAATAAAAAAAAGTCTTAGATACAGTAAAAATATTAAAATGGCAAAACAATTTACAAACACCTTTTAACTTTAATTTTAAATATTTTTAGCGAATCAAAATAAATCAAAAATAATTACTGAGCACTTCAGAAGCATATTTATATGGACTCGGCTTAATTTAATATTGTTTTTTTTTTTTTTGTTCTGTAATTAATTTTAGGCGTCTTACTACTACTACTACTTCTACTACTACTACTACTACTACTACTACTACTACTACTACTTCTACCGCCGCCGCCGCCGCCGCCACCACCACCACCGCCGCCACCACCTAAATCTAAATCCCATAAAGGAATTGGCAACCGGGACCGAAAAAGGGTCCCCAGTCTCAGAAAACAACATGAACATGGCCCCCACCTCAGCGTTACACTACTGATCAGTATTAGTGTTGTTATTCACAGCAGCGGTGGCGCCAGGATTAGCCCGACGGGGGGGGGGGGGGGGGGGGGGGCCCCCGAGCGCCAGGATTAGCCCGACGGGGGGGGGGGGCGGTGCCCCGACAAGGGGTCAGAATTCCTCGACGAAAGCAACTCGCCCCTAGAAAACCCGCCCTTGGAAACTTGCCCCATAAAAAAAATGTACATTTCCTAGACCATGCAGTCTTCAAAATGAAAATTGTAACCTTTGTTAATCAACTACATTTTCCACATACATGGAAATTTTTGAAACTTTATTTAAAAAAAACCTAAACCATAATTCAGCACTATAGACACTTTTTGACAAAAATGAAAAATTCCTACTTTATTACCCAATGAGAAGTGTTCTAATATAGACAATGGGTCGTGTCTCATATTATTTGTTATATTTTTTATTATTCATTATTTTCACTTGACTCGCATAAATAATTTTGTCCGAAGAACATTTATATGCAGTTGTGCTTCGCAGCACTTCACTTGCAATTTGCAATTTCTAGTATAATTACAGTAATTCTTAACAAAAAAAAAAGAATAAAAAAAGAAAAACTAAGAAAATTGTAGATGTAAACATTATCCCCCTGAAAAGTGGAAATCGATCAGTTTATTTGATTAATAAGTATATCTATCAGATAATAAATGTGTAATTAAAATTGCTGATTTCTTCTGGCATTTGTCCTACCACCCTGACCTGGACTGTTGTACGGCCTGATTTTACCTATTGAAACGAACAGTACCTTATTCTAATATTGACACTCCACCCAAAGTTGATGCCACTGACTCTTATTGCTTTATTGAGTATTTATCACCTGGTAGTTCTGTCCATATGATGAGAATACCTACACCCATGGTCCTCCTGCCATGAATACACTAAAAGTTTACTAAAAAATAATATAAAATAATATACCAGCCGTCTGTTTTTCAAAAATCTAACGTATTCACCGGGCTTAATTAAAAATACATTTAATAGGTTTACTAAATAATGCATAGTATATTGTACCCTGTGTATTCATAACACATGTTTAATTTAGGCCTAAATATAATAGGGGCATATTCCTAGTTTTTCATATTGCATTATATTATACAATTTTGTTCGTGTTCTTGCATTTTATTTATTCATGGAGGAATAACACATGTTTTATATAATTAGCATACTGTCATCATTTTAAAGGAGAATGCTAGGTTTTTATCTAATCTTTCATAAAATGACTAAAAAAAATAATAACTTAATCTAGACTCAAGAAAATTTTAGATGTAAAAGCATCCACCGCTGGACACCATTTCGGTTTATCTGAGTCGAAGTTCCGGGGGTTGAAATAACATTGCGATTACAAGTGAATTGTTATACTAAAATTCATCTAGCCTTCTATTCATCTAAAGGTAAAACTATAGCTTTTAAGCCAAAATTTGAATGATATGAAAGAGCGTTTTAGCTTCTTTGCCCCTACTTGATTTAACAGCATTCCTGACGACATTCGAAAGTCAGATTCATTAATTTCTTTTAAACGAAACTCAACTGAGCGTTCCTGTCTCTTGCACCCCAGGGACCGGGTTCGATAGCCGGGTCTGTGTCGAGTAGGCCTATTGAATTCGGGTCTTTTTTAACAAACAAAAAAACAAAAAAAAAAACAAAAAATAAAAAATAAACAAAAAAATAAACAAAGCAACAAACAAACAAAATTGCCAAGTTGTTTTGTTTTGTGATTTTTTCATGTAATTTTATCCTTCTTAACTTCAATGATCTGCTGTTCTGTGCATCACAAGGGACCCAGTGTTCGATTTAGAAAAATAAAATAAAATAAAATAAAATCAGATTTTGAGCATAACTCACTGAATTATTTATTGGCAGTTTTAATTATTCAGTAAATTCTTACATTTGGTGCAGTAATATAACGTACCAGATGACAAACTTAATATTAAAAACAGCCGTTTTAAAATACATTAAATACTTAATTGTTGAAATTTCGAATTAGTTTACAGTCACATTCATATTCACATGTACAATTATAGATAATTTAAAGCATGAACAATAAATGAAAATATGAAAAAGAGATGTAATGAATGAAATTGGAAGCAACGATTTTAACATGTAACACTTTTAAATAATAATATAATTACAATAATTTTTAACAAAAATAAAGCTTAAATCTAGACCTAACAACATTTTAGATGTAAAAGTATCCCCTAGAAAAAGCTGAAAAAAAGTAGAAATCAATCAGTTTAATTGATTAATAATTATATCTATCAGTTAGTAGATATGTAATAAAAAATGCTGATTTCTTCTGGGGTTTGTCCTACCACCCTGACCTGGACTGTTGTTGGGTCTGATTTGAAACCCTGTAGAAACGTGCAGTACCT